CAAGTTTGGCATTAAATTTTCGTCACGAGTCAGACTCGTGATTTACAAGTTTGGCATTAAATTTTCGTCACGAGTCAGACTCGTGATTTACAAGTTTGGCATTAAATTTTCGTCACGAGTCAGACTCGTTGCAACTTGCTCTTTGCAAGTTTCTCGAACGTTTATTCGAATATTTATTCGAATCGACGGACGAGCATAATTCCGCGATGGGAATTTTTGGCAAACGCGGGTGCGACTTGACTTGGTTTATTTATTATTATTTTTTTTTACAGAAATAGAAATATCTATATTCTGTTAAAAAAAAACTATTCTAGAGTAACGAACGAATGATTTAATAGGAAACTTGCAAAATATTGAAATCGATCTTCAGTCCTATCCGGAATGGTCGAACGAGTAGAAAGGGCCGGCACTGGACGCGATTAACGAAACGATCGAACGAGAGAGTTCGAAATCAACTCGATCGAACGTTCAACCCTTTCGCGATCCCGCATCGAGTCAAGCGCGAAACCCGAATCGGGAACGTACCCGAATCAGGAATCACTGAATCGTCCAAGTGTTTTGAATGGAATGCTGAAGAGCAGGATTAGCGGCGTCTCGGTTCGGAGCTTGGACGATAAAAGAAGATATACATTGCCTCGCGTAATCCGATTCGCGCGAAAATAAACGCTCCAAGGATGCCGCGAACGATTTCGGTGGCTCTTCAATTTCGGGGGAGTGGAGCGCCGCCGAGAACCGACACGGTCCGACGGGCTCCTCATTGTTCTGGCGAAATGAAGCCCGAGCTTTCGGCTCGTCCAAGCATAAAGCCGATTCGACCGATCGTCGCTGTTTGTAGGAACGTCGAGTACGAGAACGGTCGACGATACACGGCCTCTTTCAATGCGCACAATATCAATTCATAAGCTGCCCTGTCGCGCGGAAGCAATAGGATACGTAGCGATGGCCGTATGAAAACGATCGAGTCAGCTGGACACTTTTTTTATTTATTATTTTTCCACCGAATATTGAAACATTATCATACATACGTCCAAAAACTCATTCGAACCATACCGACGCGTAACTCTGTCACTTACCTCGGACGTTAGCCACGTTCTCCCGTCTAAAAATATTCGAGTTACAAACGACGACACGGCCAAGGGGGCGCCTTAAGGGGCGCCCAAAGATGTTCCTCTGACATCCTACCGCTCGGCTAAATCGGAATTGCACGATGTTGATAAATTTTGCGATCTTGCAGTGGGGTACGACCTGGGCGGCGTGTCTACGTGCAGCAAGAGGGACCCCGAGCACGGGAAGAGGCCGACAGGTGGCAAGGAGCCCCACTGCCTGTACCCCGGGGACCTCTACCCGTTCACCAGGAAGCCGTTGTTCGTGGTGGTGGACTCGGACAACAGCTTCGTGTTCCAACAGATACCGCGGTACTTCGGGCAGCCTCTGATGGTTCTGATGTCGCCCCAGGACACGCCGCCGACGTTGCGCGACGTCAGACACGGTGGCAGCCTGTTCACCCTGTTTCTCCACGCCCCCCTCGCCGCCTTTTGCCTTATATGCAACATCGGTAGCCTGGCCGTGCACCACTGGGAGCGGTGCCAGCGTTACATCGAGCGATTCCTCATCGAGGCCTGTCAGCTCGTCACGCGCTCCAGATGCGGTAAGGATTCGGGACGTTTGTTTTTGTCGTCCGTCACCCGCACAGGGGGAGGATGATCGGTGATCTCCGCGAGGTACCGCGCGCTGTACACGTAACTCGATCGGGTGGAGCGCGAAGACAATAGCAGGTGGTGCGTCGAATTCCGGGAGAAACGCCGCGGAGGTTCCCAGACTTCGGATCGGTGGTCGGGGCTAGAATGTTTACAATGTTTAACGTTCCTGGTAACAGTGACAAGCTTCCACCGTAGCACTTTTCGTCCACTTTTCGATATCCCGTAGAGTTCGATCGGTTCACCTGGCATTGCTTTCACGATACATTTTTTATTCGGTTACTGGTAGAACTCGCGGCGCGAGTTTGCCCCGGGACGACCGTGTGGACTAGTCCAGTGATTCTTAATCGTTAAAGAGTTAAATTTATTGGTACTGTGCCTCTCATATCGGAGGGACCGAAAATTCTTAATGGCGTGCTTCTTACTACGAAAAATTCGTAAACACTCGAAATGGTTTAATATGGTACTATTTGCATCGATTCGTGTTTTACCTGTCTGTCGCGTGCACTCGAGCCTCCCTAGTCTTATTTCGCAAACAATTCATCACCGAATTCTCGTCGTTGTAATTATTGTTCGGGATTAAGAACCGTGCCAGGTTTCTCGCTGTCTAAATTGTGCCACGAGCACAAAAAGCCTGAGAATCTTGTTCTAAACTGTGCCATGAGCTTAAAAAGGGTTAAGAACCACTGTGCTAAAGAGCGAATATGTGTGTGTGTGTGTGTGTGTGTGAGAGAGAGGGGTGGGGGACAGATCTGTGTCGGTGAAACTTTCTTGGCTCCGGCATGCTGATTTCAAGGGCTGGTCCGCGCAATTGGAACCACTTTTTTCGACTCCGTACGTATCGATCCCGGCCGAAACACCGAGAGATTCAAAGGACCGCCGCGATATGCAATCGCGCGATATTACTCTTTTGTTTCCGATGGTTTGTCTTCGGTGCCGCAAAGGTCGCCTGATTGACTCGCTGTTGCTGGCTGACAAAATAAAAAATCACGCAGCGGAACGCGACATAGGTCGGAGTTAACGTCGAATTCGAGGAGGTCTTCGCGATGTTCTTCCCAAGGAGCAGAAATCGGTCGTGTTTGCGCTCGGAACATGAACATTCGTACACCCTATGTCTATTTAACTAGATTCGCTAACTTGAACAAATATTTTTAATATTAACAATTGAATGTTTCGTTACAAGTTTGTACACGAATAAGACTATATACACGATAGTGATTTTCAAACTTTACATAAAATTTTCGTCGCGACTCGGATTCGTGATTTGCAAGTTTGGCATTAAATTTTCGTCACGAGTCAGACTCGTGATTTGCAAGTTTGGCATTAAATTGTCGTCACGAGTCAGACTCGTGATTTGCAAGTTTGGCATTAAATTTTCGTCACGAGTCAGACTCGTGATTTGCAAGTTTGGCATTAAATTGTCGTCACGAGTCAGACTCGTGATTTGCAAGTTCGGCATCAAATTTTCGTCGCGAGTGTAATTCGTGTTTCTCTAGTTTGGTGACAAATTTCATCACGCGTCATACTCGTGACATTCAAATTTGGCGTAAAATTTTCATCGCGAGTCCGACTCGTAAAAATAGCGCAACGGAGGGGTAAATTTTTGATTATAAATACATAAATACGACTAACGTTATACACGTATATATTTACATATACGCCAACGTATTTGTACAACGGATAACGCGGATGAACATACACATGGAAACATCAAATCTACCAGTTAATTTAAACAAATTTCTCCCGGTAGCCATAGAAGGTACGAATATTTATGTAGCTCATTGAACGTGTATCGTTAGGCTTCGAATAATTTTTCATCGACGGTATATCGCAAGAAATACCTTCGTTCGTCATATCGTAAGAAAAGAATGGGAATTCCCAAGGAAACGAATCGTCGACCCCATCGACACGGAGGGGGGATGGTACGAAACGCGATTTACGATTGCATTACAACGATAAACACAGCTGGCCTAGATCCGGTCGTCCGAAGCTGCCCCGCAGCATCCCGTGTTTATCGCTGAACCAGCGATCTCGGTTCTCCAGGCCGCCGTGATCTAGGGTCGGCCGCAAAGGGGGTTTCGCCATTGTTCCTCTCGCGACCGGCGATACGTCGTCCGCGAGTCTCGAGGCGTACGGAGCCCGCCGGCTTCCTTTTGTCGAGTGTCCGATAGGCGTAAGCTAACGTCGTAAGTAACGCTCTCGTCGGATACGTTCGATTCGCCGGCCGAGAAAGTTTCGCCGTAATCGATACCAAAACCTCCCCCTAACCTCCACCGTAACGTCTGCACGTCCCCCTATAGCTGTCCCGTGATAATACGCCCGAAAGTTTGCGACAACAGGTCTGCGCACAGACAACAACAGCAGCAACAGTAATATGCAAATTTGTCCGCCGTATCTCTGGAACGGAGCGTTCGCGACGGCAATTGCGGACGGCAATTGCGGACGTCAGTCCGTATTCGGTGGTCTGACAGCCCGAACGAAGTCATACCTCGGGATACATCGGGATAACCAATCCCCGTTTCCAAGGTTCAGCCCGCTTCGATATCCCGAAAAAGCGTCTCTGCGAATTTATTTCACGGAATCCAGAAATTTCTCGCGGTACCAGAAAACTCTGTACGTGCCAAACACCTTCTCTCCCCGAATCACAAGTTTCCCATCGAACGGTCCGAAACGAAGAAACCACCCCCCTGTAACCATGAAACAGAGCCACGTTCAGAGCTCCGACCCGGAACCATTTAAAACTGACCTCCGTGTGTGACGTCCTCGATTGCGGTCGACGCGAATCCGCCTCAAGTCGCTCGAACATGTCGCGATTGCCGAAACTGATTTTAAGGGAGGAAGCTACGTTAGGAGACCTGATATCGACACGTCGAGGCTGATACTATCCACAATTTCTGCTACGATTGTATTTTGCTTACAGCCTTTTAGAAACTACGCAATCAAACATTCACCGTGGTATTTATATTTAGAACATCGTCGAAATCCAAGGATTTTATTGCAATTTATCGTCTCGGACGCTCTTAACGTTCGAAATTAATTTTTTTTTTTTAGTTCTTCAGTAAAATGAGCTAAAATGATAAATACATCGATATTCGTTCGAATTCAATACGGAAAGTCAGGCTTGCGAGGGTCAAGCGTTTTCGCGATTTCTTTTTACAGAGAAACATTTACTTAATTTCAATCCAAGTTTCGGTATATCTTAGGTACGATTCGAGATGCATTCGGTAATTTTTGAAGGCCAAATATTGATCGTACTTCATCGTTTTTGGTACTTGGAAAAATTCACTTAATCTAATTTCAACGTTAAGAATATTCAAAGTACGCTTGATAATTCTTTTAGCTTATTAAACTAAAAATTATAAGACAAAAATGTGAGTAAATTTTTCTCTCTAAACCAAAAAAAAAAAAAGAAAAAGAAAATACTTGGCTCCGTAATGTGGTTTCCTCCCTCTAAGAACAGAACGAAAAAATAATGAATATTTGTGTCAGCGATAAAGAAAACGATCGCACGATCCATGAGAGACACAAAGATAAATAAAGAATAAAATAAATAAGGAAAATAGAGACGAGGACACGTCGACTGACGAGCGTTTTACGGTACACGCAGAGACCAGCGTGTTGCAATTCTTCGGCGACGATTTCCTACGACTGTTGCTGGTGCGCTACGTGTTCTGCGACGTGGTGTTGAATCTCCACCGGTCGTTCAGGGGTCGACAGCAGAGGCCCCGTTGCCATCCGCCGTTGCCGGACGCCGAGGTGCTCGAGCATCCCACGTTGCATCACCTGGTGCTCGACCTGGCGGCGTGTCTCGACTGCCGCGACCACTTCCCGGACAGCAACGAGCTGGCCTGACCCAGGCATCTTCCCTGCCCCGCCAACGAGTCGACGTCACTGTTGCCGCCGTACAGCCACGACTACGATTACGATTACTGTAACTATAATTGCAAAAATAAAATCGTTACACTGAGACCTCATTAAACCGCGTCTATCGAGAAGCGATCGCGACAGCGAGAGACGGGGGGTGCACGAGGTGTGACGATTTTACCATTTCACGTCGTTGTCCTTACATTCGCCGGGAATTCTATTTACACGAATTCTTCTTGGAGCCTTTTTCTTTTGCTTTTGTTTAGAGGCCGAAGCTTCGAGGGAAGTTGAACGGTGAGGATTTATGTGGATAGAAGGGGTAGAAACTGAGAAGAAGAAGGGAAGGTGAACGTACGGATGGTTTTTTCGTTTCTTTTTTTTTGTTTTTTTTTTTTTTTTTTATATATATATATTTTTGTACTTTTGAACCGGGACTTTAAATAACCGAGCGATATTCTTATATGCGTAGGACGTTCGAGAAGTGATAGAGGGAGGAAGAAATTCTTCAGGACCTTCGTTTAAAACACTCGACCGCTCGGTACACGTTTTACGAAAGACGATGGAGAATCAGTTCGTACCTCGACCGTCGCTTTTATTTACCTACGGTCGGTGTAACGAGCATTCGTACAGGAACCGTTTCGAAATGAAACTTCATGTGTTTATTTTATTAATCGATTTCAGGGTTAGAAATAATTAACCGACGTTCCTGTATTTTTTTCTTTTTGTTTTTTTTGTTTTAGAGTAGAATTTGCGTAAAGGTTATTATCTTCGATGTCAACCCTTTGCACTCGAGAGGATGACTCTCGGTCGCCATTAGGTCTCGCGCAGCAAATCTACGATACCTAACGATTGTCTGGGTTTAACCCATTGCGCTCGGATGGCGTCTCCGGGCCGACGTGTGTAATTTAAGAGAAATCTCGCGAACGTACAATTTCGAATTCGCTTGCATCGGAATACGACTGATTATTACTATTATTATTATTATCGAAATAATAATACATCGCGTCACGGATGCTCGTAGGTGATTGTTCTCGAAGTGGAATTTCTGGTTTCACAGAAATTTATTATAAAAAACGGACTGGTATTCGATTCCATAGAAAAATGCCTCGAGCGCGAGGGTTTCGTTTCTTCGGAGCTCGATGTGTCGATAGAATGAATATATCGGCGTGATAAAGGTGACCTTATTCTCGAATCCAGATAGCTTAGAATTCATGGCAACAGAACGAAGCTGAGAAGCTGAGAAGCATCTCGAGTTGCTGGCAGATACCACGAAAAAAAAAAAAAAAAGAAAAAAAAAGAAAAGAAAAGGCCTCGAGCGTCAAGGGTTAACCTCTCATTTCCTTTCATATTAGTTTCGTCTTAAATCGGTTGCTGTACGAATATTTTTTCACGCCGACCGTGTCTCTCAACTTCCCCCGAAGCGTCAGCCTCGAGACCGGCCGAAGCAACTTCCGAGAAATGTTCGATAAATCGAAGAACCCGCAGCGACAGTAAGCGACGGACGAGAAATCGCCGCACCCGGTACGTATACACGGCTGAACCACGTGGACCATCCATCCGAGAATTATTTTTGTCCTCGTCGCGAACCGACCGAAACTCGTTTCGTCGTAGACGACGCGACACGAACGAACGTCTCGTTTACGCCTAGATCTCGATGCAGAGACGAGCGGTGGTTCTGCGTTCAATTTAAAAAAAAAAAAAAAAAAAAAAAAGAAAGAAAGAAATCATCGATAATTAATTCGAATCATTGAAATCGCGGTCGTAAGAATTAATTGTAGAAGTTCGTTAAATAAAATAGCGTTAGAGCAGGCGGGAGGGTGTCCCCTCCTTCCCCTCTGTGGAGAATTTAAGCGTTTAGGCAACAAAACGTGATGTCCCGTAGGGGTATAGAATAATGCACGATCTATAACGTTCGAATTTGTTTTGCAATTCAACGCTAGCTTTGCGGAGATTCTCTGTCGGGTTTCTGTTGCCGGAAATCAGCGCCGGATTCGGCGATATCGACGCCCACGGTCGTCCTCGATTGTCGTTGCGTCCATTCGGGGGGTTGGAATTTTTATGAAAAAAAAAAGGTGGCGACGGAAATAATATCGAACGAACTCGTAGTTAGATCGTGAAAGTTGTTAAATCGCGTAGCGTAATTCTAGGGACGCCCAGGCTGTGGCGTCCTCTACGAATCTAGCGTCCCTCTAACCCTGCTGGAAATTAATTAGGAGACCCAGAGAGCAACGAATTCGAATACGTGCTTGGCCTTTTGGTTTTCCGCGAGATCCTGCGCAAATAGAAACGGTTCGAAAACGACATTTCTTTCGCGAACCTAGCTTTCAATCCAACGACGTACGACACGTTCGATCGAGCGTCGCGAACTAAACGAGAGTTAAAGAGAAACGTGTCTCGATTTTTCACCCGTAGAAATTCGAAATTCCATTCGCGGCGGTATCTTTCGTTGTAGAGGGAGGAGTTCGAGTCGAAACGAGGCGACGAAATTGAGAATCACCGTCTTAGACAGAATTATAGAGAGAGAGAGAGAAGAAAGAAGATTCGAAAATGTTCGAAAGAATTCGCGAGAATTGAGAATTTGTTCGTTCCTATAAGTTTTACCGAATTTCTTCTCGCGTTACTTGAGCGTAGAATATCGAGGAAAAAAAGATAAGTACGTTAGTCCCGTTTAAAAGAAAAAAAAAAAAGTAATCGACGACAATGAATCCGTAGACGCGTGTCTCGCGAATCGATGCGTTCGTATATTCTTAATCTACGATAATCTTAATCGCGTGAACGTTGAATTCTCGATGATCGAGCTTGTTCGAGGATCGCGCTCGTCGTGGCTCGTATATTTTGTCCCGATGCACGGACGACGAATAGCGATCGCGTGACACGCGAAACCGTGTCCTCCGCGACGACGGAATTTCCCTCGGTTCGTTGACAAGAAGAGAGAAAATTAAAAGTAAAAAAAGAAAAAAGAAAGAAAGAAAGAAAGAAAGAAAGAAAGAAAGATAGAAAGAAAGAAAGAAATATCGCCCAGACAAATCACGTGGTTCATCCCTGTATGTATCGACGCCGTCTCAGGGTAACCCGGCGTCGGGGGCGTCAGTTATCGCGCGACGCCGGGAAATAAACGCGTTCGCCCGCGCGAACACAGGTGAGAGGGAAGAATGCGAGAGAATGAAGAGATGGTTTCTCTGAAAAACGTTCTATGTAATCGCGACACACCGCTGCCAGTTTTTTGCTACGGACTAGAAACGATACACAAAATGAAGAAACAAAAAAAAATTAAGTCTATATACATATATATATATCTATATATATATATATATAGATATAGATATAGATATATATGTGTATACATATATATATATATA